GGCCCCCTTCACCCTACTGGTCGCCGAGGACCTCGGAAGCGGGCGCGGCGAAGTGACAGGCGCCGTAGCCCATGGCTTCAGCGAACGGTAGGTAGCCCCTCTTCGGGTTTTCTCCTAACAGTGGCGCCGTTGCCGGGGAGGGGAGTAGCACCCCCAGGGCCGCGGCCTTCCCCAATCAACGGGGGTGCGCAGACTGATTAGTGCAAGCACTAATTAGTCTGTTTTCTTGATTAGCTTTATTTATTGATATTTTTTTAAGTAGTTTTTTTTAAATATCTCCCGATCCGCGCGTTTTTGTGCAAGGTGCACTGGGAGCGAAGTTCGACCTCTCGACGAGGCGAACATTTTGAGACGTTTTTTGAAAAATTCTTACGGCTAGAAAAAGAGATATGTTTTTTTTTGTATTTTTTAATTAAAAATTCCGAAAATTAAGAATTCCTTTTTATTTTTATAACTAAGAAATTAAGCGAAATTGGGAGATCACCGCGGGGACCAAAGTTGGTCGCCGTATTTTTCCCGACGTTTTGAGACATTAGTCGGGGAAAACGGACTCCGTTTGGACGAGTGGTGACCGCCAACAGACGGGAAAGTAGCGGGAAATTAGGGAGAATTAATAATTTTCTTTGTAAATTTGTAAAATAAAAAGGAAAAGGAAGTTTACAAAGGTGATCCGTTGGAACCCAACTTTCAATCGACTACGAATTAGCCGAAAATTTTCAGCCTCGAGAAGTCGGACGAGGTGGCGTGCGGTCGAGCGCAAATCAGCAAAACCCTAATTGGGAGAAACCCTAATTAGGATAAACCCTAACCCTAAGAAAGGGAAACGCGGTGCATCGCCGGGCAGATATAAGTCCTTCTAACCGAACGGCGAGGGAAAAATTCTGTGTAAATCCCGTCGATTAAATAGAAATTAATCAATATTGAAAATTTTATTGTATAAAATAATCTAATTTTGCTTTAAGTAATAATTTGTCGTTTAAAATCAATAAAGAAATCGAAGTAAAAATATAAAAATTCTTCAAGAAAGGGGAACAGGCTTTATTGCGACTTTGTGATTTGGGAGGCCTTCGGCCACACCCCATCCCCTGTGGGGGGAGGCGAAGTGCTACCAAAATTTCTCGGCTATTTGCTATATTTTATATATATTAAAATTTGAATACTTAAGGAAAATACCCGAAATTTTATATTTCTTTTGGGAATATTTCCCTTTTATTATACCTTGCTGCGGACGTTTTTGAGGCCTTCGGCCACACCCCATCCCCACGGGGGGAGGCGAAGTGCTGCCGAAATTTCTCGGTAATCTACTGAATTATTATTCAATTTAATTTTAAATAATTAAGTAAAATATCCAAAAATTCATATTCCTTTTTGGGAAAATTTTCCTTTTGCTATACCTTGCGGCAGGTATTTTTGAGGCCTTCGGCCACACCCCATCCCCACGGGGGGGAGGCGAAGTGCTGCCGAAATTTCTCGGCAATTTACTGAATTTTGTCCAATTAAATCTTAAACAATTAAAGAAAATACTCGGAAATTTATATTTCCTTGTTGTTATTATCCCTTTTACCGAATTCCTGCGGCGGCTACTTTTTGAGATCTTCGGCTAACCCCTACCTTGACACGGGGGAGCCGAAGTGTTGCCGGTAGCAAATCTTGATTTCAGTTCTAGGAAGGTAGCGTTTGCCTAGGGACAATAGTCCCGAGCCCGATCCCAACGGGGGGAGGCGAAACGCAACCGAAATTTTTTTGTAAAATTGTTAAAACTTTTTTTTTTTTTTTTTTTTACCCCCTAAAAAGCATCAAACTCGGCAGGCTTATAAATATGTTTATCCACGAGGGGTGAGAAATAAGAGAAGGATTTAATCTTAACTGAATACATTTTTCTTTAATTAATAATAAAAAAAAAATACAAAGAATTGCCTAAAGAGGCAGCGAGAAGGGCATTGTCGTAACCTGGTTTTTGGAAAACTTCCTAACTTGCTCCCGGAGGTGTGAGGCAACTAACAGGCCGCCAGTTGAATGAGGCCGCAGGTGCAAGATGAGGTCTATGGGGCCACGATTGATTGGGACTTGGAGCCCCCTGAGCTCATAGAAGGAGATCTAGTCGAGCTCACGATCCCTGGACGCGGAAGTCGACACTTTGACGGTCAGTTTGCGTGGAGGTCCATAATCTTGTCGGAAGACGCGTGRCTKKGGACGTACAGGGAGCACCGGYCGGCGCAAGGARYAGGCGTAGTGAGAGCCTACTTGTATTTAGGACCGGATGCGATCAGGGAGGCTGTAGTGGGCCTCGTGACGACAGGGACTAGTGGCACGGTTAGCAGCGTGTTACGCTACCTAGAGGACGAGGTAGCTGCCTTCCGAGCAGAGGACTCGAGCGACCCGTTGACCTTATTTCACGGGCGCCCTCCTCTTGATATCTCGGGCGAGCTGGTGGTAGCACGGGACGGGTTTTTCCCGTACAGTGTTAGGAGTCTGCGAGCGGTAGTTCCGACGTTCGTGGTAGAGAGCGTCTTTGGAGGAATTGGTGGAGTAGTGGAGACATACCTGGCCTATCAGGATCTCAAAATCCTGGCGCGAAGCACTACAGATTTAACCTACATCTATTATTCACTCGCGACCGGAGGACTTCGCTGGGGAGACGAGAGGGTTCAGCTTATAGAGCTGATCCGCTCGATAGACGACGAGTGGCCCCAGTCGYCGTGCGTTTGGGATTGGCTAGACCGAGAGCTCCGAGCAGGACCCGAGTACGTGACCTGCATCGGGCGGCTTTTCTCAGACGACGAGGACAGCTGGTGGGCTGAGGACGCCGAGAGACCTCTGATATACGGACACCAGTTGGCGCAATACTACCAAGGTATTGGACAGGCCCCATACCGCGTCGAGRACGAGTTTGACGACGGAGGATGGGAGCGAGAGGACGGCGAGAACGTCTGGGAGCCGGACTGGATTGATCCGGATGATGAGATTGTCGAGGAGGAGCCAGACGCTTCGGACGCCCATTTCCCCAGGATAGGAGTAGCAGTCCTGGCATAGGAGGAGTCAGCTTTGGTCACTGATATCGGCGAGTAGTGGAGAGTATGGCGGATTAGGATATACTCAGGGTGACTCTTTCCCTGCGACGGGATAGGACAGGAGGTTGGGAGGAAGAAGCGTTAGACATTGTTGAGCGACAAGTTAGATTCATGACGGAGCATGCCCTGGAGATACGGAAAGGCCAGAGGTTCACTGAGTTTACTATCTACTACCATGGAGCCGACGGGAGAGTGCATAGCACCTACTCAACCGTACGGGATCTGAGTGGTAGAGTTGTCTGAAGAGTCAGCAGCATCGAGAGATAGGGTGCGTCGGAGGGATTAGAGCACTACAGATCGAAAGCAGGAGAGGAGATGAGAAGTGACTCGGTAGCTTGGTTAGCCTATGTTCTCTCACGAGAGTCCGAATCATATAATGTGAGAAAGCTTGTGGGACC